GCTTCACAAGAACCGTCCTTTCGAAGGAATCCGAACTGTAAGTGGTCGGATGGAAAAGACAGGACCCATCTGTCATAGGTACATTGTGGGCGAAAAAGGCGAAGCTTGACATGTCCCGCCGGGTAATGGGTTAGGAGTGATCAAAATGAAGGCACAAATAGCAATAGGAAGTAGTGAAAAACCGCAAATTGCCAACTTGCCGGTTTCTCTGTTCCCGTCTGTGCAGTTCACACTTGGTTTTGTGTATTATCCAAGGCTATCGTTTGTGGTTTCTGGGCAAAAATGAAGGTGGGCTGATTTGTTTTTGTTTTTCTGCCGTTTGTTTGGGTTACGTGATATGTGGTAGTACGGCCACGACACGTGTTATGAACACGGCTAACGTGGAGGCTGTAATAACAGCTTCTGTGGGGTATTCCACGTGTGGCAAACGCTCAGCGAGAAGAAGTTTCTCCGATACTCCAATTTTAGATGACTTCTCAGTTTGTTGTTGTGAATCAGCTTCAGCAAGTGATGACGGGTAATTAGTCCTGTTTAAAATTTGGTAAGCCATGATAAAGTCACAACGCAAACGGCGATAACTTCCGCTGAAAATGCCAAGGACTCTGAGGCGTTGTTCGTATGACAAGTGGCGCAGCCCCTTGACATTTTTGGTCGCCCGACATTGTGTAGGCTCCAGGGCCGTGAGATCCCGCTTTAGCCATGGGTGCCATGCTTTGATTGCATATACAACATAAGGGCGGGAAGTATCTGGCAGAAAATAGACGGTCCGAATTACCCGAAAGCTCTCCGTAGAAGCCCCACGATTTGGATCTCCTCCTTGGATGCTTTCTTGGACTGCAACGAGCAGCCAAAGTCTTCATGGGCCAACCCACAGAGATCCTTTTCGAAAGAACAGTGTTGTAGATCCTGGTCCCCAAGCTTATATGTGTGAACCATTCGGTGTCGTAAATGGAGCACTCGACATTTAGCCACATTGAGTAGAAGGCGATTTTGGACCCACAATCCATAAATCTTGTCAAAGTCGTTTTGAAGCTGGATACGGTCTTCTGGAGCTCTGATCGCTCGCCAGACTTTGATGTCATCGGCGTAGAGTAAACAGTTCGACTTAATTTGGCTCACTAGATCATTTATGTAAACCATACATAGAACCCTGTGGAATACCGCATTCGACGTGAATTGGGTCTGATATGGATTCACGTACTCTCACCTCCAGACGCCTGTGCGAAAGACAATTGCAGATCCACTAGAGGAGAGGGTTCCCAATGCGAGAAGGATACGATGGTCCAACCGGTCGAATGCCTTAGAGAAATCAAGGTATGCCACATCAACTCCCGCAACAGCATCCACCATTTCGGTTCAGCTGTCTCGTGCTAACAATAGGTTAATTGTACACGACCGATTCTGGCGAAAACCGTGTTGCTGCCGAGCAATGTGACCAAGGTCGTCTAGATAAGACATGAGTGCGTCGGCCACGGTAGCCTCCATAACTTTTGAAAGAACTGGCAGAAGAGTCACTGGTCTATAATTAGCTGGGTCGGAACGACTACCCCTTTGTAAATGGGAGTTATTATCCCGTGTTTCCACATTGCAGGAACGTGCCTCTCGTCAAGACAGTGTTGGAACAGCCGCGCCAAGGATTTAACCAGAACGTTAACCGCCATAACTAGCGTCTTTAGGCAGATGTTATCAATTTCTGGACGGGCGTGCAGGCGCATGGATAGCAGCTTTCTCATCACGGTGTCTGCCGTACAATGTATGAGTGAGTCCTAGTGCAAGCACCAGAGTTTCCAACGATTCAGGAGACCACGGGATGCAATGAAGTGTTGGTGCATATTGATGTTGCAGAACGTTCGACGCTTCTTTAGCAGTCCGAGTTAGACCATCCGCTATTTGAAGAGGGGAAATCCACTTTTCACCTTGCGGAGGCTGTTCACGAGCTTGTACAGAAGCTAAGGATTTGAAATTAATCGCTCAGCTAAGGCATGTTGACAAGCTACTTTGGCCTCGCGCACTAATTGGGTACAGTGGTTACGCTGAACAACATACGCCTTCCAGGTAATGGGACTGGGATCGGTTTTGTGAGTATACCACGCCGCGTTGCGTATCATCATGCATTTGCGTGTTTTACTCCGTATAAACGACGTCGATTTTCTCGAACTGATAGTTTTGGTTTCCGATGCCCCGTTAACCAAGGTGTTAAACTTACTGACGAAACGTTCCCAGGCAACGTCCGGTGCATCCTTGGTTAGGAAACTCCAGTCGGTCGCCTCAACGAGTCGGGTTAAGGTGTCGTATCTGGTTATGGTTCGAGTCGTTTGAGTTCTGTCCTCGGGGTATTCAGCATAGCAAGTGCACATGAAATGCAAAGTCGCATGATCACTGTGGCCTAGAGCAGTATCGATTGTCACTCACTCGAACATCAGTTCTTATTAGTGAATATCCTGCCTGTTATTTCCCCTGAATCTGGTGGGCGAAGTGACGTGGCCATACAGCGGAAATTTTGAGACAAGATCTTGTAGGTCTGCTTTGAATTACTCTCCCGGTGTGGCCTGGGAATCTAGAGCATGTAAGTTAAAATCGCCGACGATTAGAATGTGACCGTACTTCCTGTTTATCACCTGTTTCTGCGCAGCCGCCAAGTTGCAGTCCATTTCAGGTGTAGACGATAGTGGGAGGTAAACAACCACTAGGCCAATATCGTACCCTCTCAGCCGCAAGCTGCACCAAATGGAGTAAAGTAAATCGATTTCCGAATCGTGTATGGGTTCGTACTGCAGGTTGTTACGAAAGTAGAGGGCTACCCCAACAACTTTGCAGGCTCGATCATTCCGGACAACTAACATACCTGTTAGCGCGATTTCGGCATCCGTTATAGCGTAACCATGTTTCTGTGATAGCGATGAGGTCCCAAGCTACTGTCGCGTGCCAAAGCCGTAGTTCAGCTAATTTACTGAGTAGACCTTGGGGATTTGTGTACATGCATGAGAGCTTCTTGGAGACCAAAAGCGTGTTGCATACGATGGATGAAGTAAGTGGGTTTACGCCGACCGATGAAAGGTCGGCGGCTAATCGAATTTTTTAATGGGTTGCAAGCTCTCGAGACGAATTTGGTATTCAAGTATCAGATACCCCAGAGCCCGGTGATCGCTCGTGCTCTGCTATGTCCCCTCGGTAAGTTATGGCTGCTGTTGAAACCGTCATAGAGTCAGGTCCTGCAGTTGATGTTTTCATTGATATTTGCGCCCCCATTGGGTTGTCATTAAAAGGTGGTTGTTTTCCTGCTGCGTTCAAACGAATTTCTGTTGGCAATCTGCTACGGAATTTAGTCCAATTCCCTAGTTTTAACAGCCTGGGACCGCACCTCTTGTGGTTCGGGGATACGGGGATCCTTGTCAACGAGGTGGCGACGACATTTTCGAGAGAAAAAGCCTCACGGATGTAGTGCCATTGCTCCCGATCGTGTACCTGAACATCATCGGGTGAGGAATCCTTAAGCTCAGGGACACCGTGAGTAATCCCAGTTTTCTTATCTTGATTTTTTCTCTTCCTCTCTGTTAGCGGGATCCGCTGAAGGTACTTTCCACGAGATTTCAGGTAGTATACGCACTGCACTTGAGGCGTTGCGGAGTCGATTCGCAGATAGAACTGTCTCTGTCTCACCCACCGAGTTTAACGTTACCGGGTTTCACAGTAGTGCAGTGCGTTTGGGTGACGCGAGATGCGTTTTAATGTCGTGGGATCAGCATAGTCACCGATCGCCGTACAGATGGAACTCCATTGATTTCAATCGTCCGTCAACCTATCCTTAACTGTATTGGATTTTGGATCCGGTAACATGGGTGCACACAAGGTTTAAGGCACCATGATTGCGTCTGGTGGCTACTAGTTTCGGAGCCTTAGTTTCCCGTGGTTTTTGTGAATTTGTGAACGGCACTGATGATTCCAAACAGTTTGCTTATACACCAGGGCGTTCTACATTGGATGCCGTTTCTTATATGATGCATTCCATTGACTTGACTGAACATGCAAATTTACTTGCAAGTGCCCTCTTTCGCCATCACTTTCCTTGGAGCTCTTTGTGATATCAACGAAGAGACGAATGTCCATGAGTGTTCGAATTTCGCTCACACTTATTAGGTACACATATCCAGTGTTGCTTGTAAATACTTCTCACATATTCAATTTTTTGTTTTGTCCATGTCGCAGTCTCTGTTGCCATGACACCGTTGTGAAATAAAACAAATGCTTTCCAGGGTGTCCGCTTGATACACACTCCCTTACGATCCAGGTTCCGACAGTTTTTGGCTTCTGTAACCACACACACCCGACTTTCTCCAACATCTTCCGACTGTGATTCAGTAGCACTTCAATGATGACGTCTGATTCAGCATCACGGCTTATTGTCAATTCAATCCCAGCTCACATTATCTTCAATGTGTCATCATCATCATCACTATGGACGCCACTAAGAGCAGAGCATCATCGGGAGAAATTCTCCGTCGTGTCGCCATTTTGTTATGCTTCACAAGTCAGAGAACCTTGAAATAGGGAAAAATACCTTCATCACACTGAGGGTACTATGGGATAAGGTTGACTCTAAGTGAAAATAAGCCTAGATAATAAATAACCGAAAACACTAAGATTATAGAACGGATGTCATGTACTTAGAAAGACCTTACAAGAAAATACCTAACAGGCGAAGTCAGTAGTCTTGATATTTTCCAACAAACATGGTCCATAGGTTCCCAACCCATCGTACCAAAGCATGGTTTAAAAAGTGACACATCAGCCTCTGCGAAAATTTACACAAATACGTTCCATTGACTGTAAAAATTATGGTGACGTTCATAGAGGAACTCGTAAATAGCCCTAGCGAAGATCGCGTGGGCGTTCTCAGATGTACTGAAATGTAAGTAAAAGAAATGACAATTCAAGTGCAAAAACAAGCGACTCCCACTGTCACTGTACATCGCACACAAATGATAACATCAACCGCTCACCTGCTGCAGATTATTCCACTCGCTGCGAATCCTTTTCATTGCTGTCACGTATGCGGCAACTGCTTGGATTCGTTGGTGGAGACAGCCGCTGCAGGGCGACGACGTTTGGTTTTGATCCTGTAAAGTGGAGGCTTACTAGGATTGAAGACTCGGCGCAGGGGTGGATAACATCCCTCACCGTTACTCCTGGACTGCCTTCGTTGACTTATTTGAATGTCTTGGATAATGGACGTACGTCCCGGCGGATGCGATTCCTCAACAGAAGCCTGGCTGCACATATACGCGTACTCCCAGTTCGATAGCTCCCAAGAAAGGGCTTCCAGAAGCCGGATTGCTTTATCGAGGTCAGTATCACTAAGCCATCGTATATGTGATCGCAAATCACGTAACAACAACTCGGTGAGTTGAATCTTGCGCTGCCGCTGTGTAGACGTCAAAGGCACAGACATTTGTTCGTCCGCTCTATGCAAAGGCCAAAGTCGGTGGTCCATATCTAACAGATAATGCAGACCGTAATAGACCTGCAAAGCTGCAATGGAAAACGAAAATTTCGTAAGCGGCTGCTTGCACTTAACAAAACGAACTGGTGGAGATGGATTTGCCGTCATCACGTACAGCAGAAACAATACCAAGGTCAAGTCGGGAAACAGAACACGACGAGGGAGGGGCAAGACAGCCACAAGAGGTGAAATATTCTACCCTGTCCAAATGTTGTTGCTCTTCCACGTACCGCCTGATGACCAATCCATTTCTATAGTGGAAATAATGAGGTCCATTGGATGGGTGATGAACGCTTGAGAATCTGCAATGACATTGGATCTTAACGTGGTGCGGCGGTTCACGTGCCTTTTCAACCCATTGAGCTATCAAGTCATGTAAGATGCCCAGAAAGAAAAGCAAAAGCGGTAGGTTAAAAGTGAACAATTATTTTCGATTGTATCTTTATTAAGCTCTTACAGTAATAAACACCACAGCGATGTTGGATTTCATGTGTAAGTACATATATTGGAAACTAAAGTGATTTGATCACTTAAGTGAGTTTACACTTTCAGATGATTGATCAAGTGCTCGAGGTCAAGTAAATCTACCAACTTTGTTCAGATCACTCCTTTCCGGTCGCAGGCATTGGCAATTGCAACGATTAAACCATTTTCTTTTGTACGCACAGGTCGGATCTTGTTAATTGTATGCATGGAAGCATCAGCAGTACGCCCGCGCCGGCAGAGTACAAGACAAGCTTGTTACCTTTAGGTTACGAGTCGGCATCGTATGCGTAGCACATCCGCAGTAGCAAGCAATTTCGTCTAGTCCATAGCTGTGCGCTGCTGATATTTTATAGGGAATCTAGAAACTGGTTTGTTGGTAACTTGTGTCGAGTAGGTGATCAATTATAGCGCCTTTCAGCTTTGTGGTTATTGAACCACCTATGGAGGTGTTCCTTGATTCTCTCGCCCAGCTGTCTGCTCGTAAGCCCAACGTACTTTGACTCACAGTGACAGATAAACCGGCAGATTACCACTGACTGAAGATGACCAGGGACTTGGTCTTAAACTCTACGAACACTTAGTGGTTTGCTCGTAAATATCGCATTCATTGAAGATTCTCTTAGTTTCGTAATAATCTACGCCTGCAGACTTCCGTAGCATTGTTTGCTTTGAAAAGGAGAGTAAGAAATAGCTGTCTCTTCGAGATCTTTTGCTTCATAAGTGTCTATGAAGTGCTCTGGATATCCGTACTCAAGCACTGCTTCCTTGATTCGCTTTAGTTCGTCTTCAATGCAGATTGGTATACGCGATTAGTTAAGGTGCGTACCAGCGCTCCCTTGCGACTGAGTGCAACAAAGCTGTGAAAGTCGGTGTATTGTCTTGTCCAAAAAGCTTTCCCGTATAATTTGATTTGGATCGATCCATCGCAACATCTGTTCATTTTCTATCGGAGTTATAATGGTAAGAAAAGGAAATAACGTTTAGAGTCATCATTTTCAAATTTCCTCGACAAACTGAAACGTGTCGGCTAGGTGCAATGATTTGTCTAATAGGATTCAGTACTTCTGTCAGCCATCGTGCTATCTGATATGATAAATTTCTAAGTGGTGTGCCTGATTTATGTATTTTTAGAGGGACATGAATGCAGGGAATGGTGGAGCCGCTATGTCCCAATTGTTCAGACGATCCTTTGCTCATGAAACCTTCAACCACTAGCGACTTTAGATACTTGTTCATTTCTATGTAATCCGCTGTATTCTCCTGTTTGTTTTGCATTTCATA